ATTGCTGTGGTCGGTCTGACAATTGCTTTATGTCACAAAAATAAAAATAGAAAAAAGGTTTTTTCTGGCTTAAATAAAGAAGCACTTCACGTATAAATGTATTGCAAGATTTATATTCAAACCCACAATACGGGCATAATTAATACCGCGACGTCTTTCTTCATTTTATAACATTTTTGCAATTTTTCACATACGAACTCTACAAAAATAATAAAGAACTGTCGGTGTAGCACTATGCGCCGCACTAACGTTCAAGTGCCTTGACGGCATGTCAGTCGGTAGATAGAAAATCCTCGGAAAATCGACCCTACCATGAAGTGGCATGTCCTTTCAAAATTTCTTCCCAAACACGGTTAGTTTGGTTTGAACAAACCTATTTAATCAAGTCACTAGATCAAGCGGCATGATGGTGAGTGGTCATCATTATAGAGAACGCGATAATTGTCACATGGGTATTTTGCCTGAACTATAGAAATTATTATTATTATAATTTGCATGAACTCGGTAAGAGTCATAGGAAAAAAAGAGATTATTTACAGATTACTAGCAACTTTCTTTAAATATAAAATAAGCTTATCTATGCCTTCTAAAAATTTGTTCCGATTTCGGCCACGCGTTACAAAATCTTGATCGTACTGTAGTCACATTTAAACGCTTGCGAAAAAAAAACGACGGGTTGCACTCCAGGAGTGCCGGCAGAAGTGAAACTTGAATATTAACGTTGTGCATTTTTGATATTTTGGAATGGTTAGGGAATAATTTTGCACGAATTGCTTTAATTATCAGTATAAAAGTACTACCATTAATGTGGTAGAATACAATATTTATTTATTGCGCTATCGTACACAAACATGACAATTTATATTACATTAAAAAGTTTACCTTTCAGAAAAATCAACTTACATGAATCACATTTAAGCGCACCTAGCGACATCTATTGTAAAAAATGCGTTTTCTTCGCAATAAAGCTGCCACCTGGACGTCCTAATTAGAGACTTATTATTATAATACGATAAAATAAAATATTACTATGTTTCGTCCAAAATATTGAAAGTCAAAAACCTTTTCAATTTTATTGTTTTCGTCTTACGAATTTTCGATTAGGTCACGTGGACACGTGACCTAATCGGGACGTCAGTACTGACACGATCAGGCCACGTGTCCTGAAGCGAGTTTTCCAGTTTTTACCCATTACAAAAAAGTGTACAACGCAGCTAAAGAAGTTTTCACTGCAATAAAATTTAAATATTACTCACACCGTTGCCTACCCCGATTCAATCCCCTACCTCGTGGAACCCTGCAACAGTCTCACCGTTAGAAACACAGAAACAAAGTGCATGGTTTTCTGTAACGACGAGTTTACTTTCCCAAACGCATGATTTATTAATTTAAATACACCCCCTTTTCACAGGATTAACTCTCTACCCCTATTTTTAAGTATATTTTTAGGCGTAAGTTTAATATTTTTCCACCAAAATTTTTTAGTGTTAGCAGGAATGCCTCGACGATATTCGCTCCAATTCGAGCGGCGAACACGTTATGCTCTACCTCTCTAAACTCTTATTTTTTATAAAATTATATATAAAATTCTCGGGTCACAATGTTAGTTACCATACTCCTACGAAACTTTATAAATTTTAATAATAATTTTTTTAAAAGCATATTCAGTAGGTCTGAGAATCGGATACTATCTATTTTTGGTACCCAACTAAGTGATCAGGGTTGTCCACCCCTAACATGTCTATTATATTTTGGACTTTAAAAAAAAATATATGTAATGTGGTATTTAAAAATTCATACCACCCAAAATTTTGGAACCTTGTACTGAGAAGAACTTTATGCTGAAATGATTTTAATATGAGATGATTCAAGAGGTCATCATTCATTACCGACATAATGTGGTATCTATCTACAACCATCATTCAGTTTTACACCTGCCGTTTGATTGCTATTTCATATCACACAGTATAAATATATATCGTGTTATTTATATTAGGTATCATCATCATCATCATCATCAGCATATTAATGTCCCCACTGCTGGGGCACAGGCCTTCCCTATGGATGGAATAGGGAGATTGACCCACCACGTGGGCCCAGTGCGGATTGGTGGGTGCTGACGACTGCAGATGCAGCCGGGACCAACGGCTTAACGTGCCTTCCGAAGCACGGAGGAGCTCGAGATAGTAATTTTTGGTCAACCATCCAATGACCGACCACTGCGAAACTTGCTTAAGTTCAATGATCGCAGCCGAACGCGCTAACCATTTGCACCATCGAGCTCCTCCATTAAAATGATCTAGTTATATTAGGTATAACTAGATCATTTTAATAGTAAAGTAGTGTAAGTTTGTTGGTGGTTTGGGGTTTTGTTTGACTGTCTGTAGTTTGTTTATTTGATCCTCAAACGAAGTGCAATAGAAAGTGATAATGTACAATTTAAAGAATGGTCCTAATGTCAATACTTATTAAGTCAGTAGAGCAGGCAGCAGTATTAACTGAGGTATTTAAATAAAAGATATTGTTCAATTGACGCATCTGCATCGGTATATTCTGACGATATTTACAAAGAAAGTGTGTAACATTATAATAACAAAAGCATAATCAATCTATTAAGTGATAAAAGAAATGCAATATCCAAGTCACGGAAGGTAGATTTAATTTATGTAAGAAGTTCAACATAAATATGTTATTAAAATGTATGTAGATAAATACTTATCAACAACAGTTATCATTGGATAGGTTATAAATTCTCTTCAAGTTGTCATAAGAGAAGATTAATATCTTTGTGTAGGCAATGAAACTATTTAGGAAAATAATGCAAAAACAGACAAAACCAATTTCATTAAATATTTATTAGGTTTTTTTATGTTCGACTTTAGGTATGTTACATGACTTCGGGTAAATGTAGATGTTATGATTCACGCACATAATTTTAAAATTTTATAACATTCAAACCAATAGACTCTCTAGAAACTTGAAGGGAATCGTGAATAAATCCTATAGTAATGATGATCAAGGTTTCAGGTGATTAGGTAATACATATATAAATAATTTTGGACACAGTCGAGTTTTCATCACTGGCAATTATTCGGTTGAATCCGAATCGTGAAGTGTAGTGTTACTTAACAATTTCAAGAATCGGATTACAGTTTTCAGCTGGTAACAGAAGTCAAGCACAACCAAGAAATTAATAGGTACCTACTAAGTGAATCGCTTAAGGTTCACGAAACATTAGTAACGACATAGAATTTCTTGATTACCATCCTATAAATCTATAAAAATAACTAACGTAAGAAGTTCTGGCGTGCGAGTAAAAAGTCCAGCATTTAGAATATTATATCAAAATATTACGAATTTCGTACAAAATTACTTACATATAAATATATGTCATTTAACATTCTCACGCGTCTTTACAATTAACTTAGTAACGATTACAATCTAGAGATTATCACTTTGCCCTGAGAGAAAATATTCTGTCACGTTAAATACCTTTAGGTATATATCTATATTTCCTTACGAACGGAAAAAAGAAAAGTCTTATAGATGCTTACGCAGACAACCTATATGTAAAATTACATTATGTTTTTGTGAGGTGGTGCAAATATATTATATCAAAACAGTGATGGCAATATTAGGCATAGCAGGTACTGTTTTATCTAATAAAAATACGGAACAGCAAGCAAGAAAATTTGTTTACTGACTGGACAAAAAATAGAAATTGTGCGTTATTTATTGGGAAATTGTTGTAAGTAGGGCAGATACAATACTCGACATTCAAAAGGACGGCGTCAGTGTTTAAATTTTTACGAAATATATGCTAAATTTAAGATCATGAACAACTTTTGAAAATAATGACTTGTAAATAGTCCATTTAAACTCACAGTTTAATAGGGGCAAGGCAATTTTCTGATATTATTATAATAATTATACAACAAATATTCATTATCATAAAAAAAATAATGGTGTATACCTAAGGTTCTATTATAGTTATTAGAGTTAATGGGATCATAACACATTCATTCATGGCTCACATTGGTCCAGTGAGGAATTTGACAAACTCTACTTTAAAATAAAATAAACACAACAATATTTCTCCATTTAAACCCATCTGCCATAACAATGATTTTCTTTGAAATTCATTATTGTAATACATTTAATAAATAAACATTTCTGATAATTTGAAAATTTGAAATTAAATACAAAATAAATCGTTCAAAACCAAATCATGCCTATTTCCATTAAACATGTTATATATATATGTATACGTATATATATAGATTTGGTGTTATTATATATGTATATATATATATTATATATTTGGTGTTAAAACAAATATTTTGTTATTTAGGATTAGGATTCCTTTTAGTTAATTAACAAGAAAGAAGAAAGATAAGTATAATTTATATTCTATGATAAAAAATCGTGAAGAGTGATATGTTTTTAGTGTTCACTCAGTACATATATAATATGTACGTGAGTGATAAGAGATACGTATGCATCTACACAAACTATATCTAGGAAGGTACTCTTTTAAGACACGTTGGATTTAGTAGTATATTTAAAAAAAGTTATGCTGAACTTTTTCTCTGGCCTTATTGTAACAAATTACATTAACATCCTAGCATCTAAAATTATTTATAAAATAATTTAAACCTAAAGGTAACTTCCAACAATCATGTTTGGACACTGTTAAGTACGTTAAGTAGTGCCGCGGTTGTGTATGAAACCCACGTGTGCGTCGTTTCGCTGCTAGAAGTGCCCACGGCAGGACATCAGATGCCTTATCTTCTTATAAGTAATATAAAAGCTCGGTAATTACGAGCCACATTTAACATTTCTAAGTCTCGTGACTAGATTTTCCCTAACTAAATAATACACAAGTAAATAACATAGGAATATTTGTACGACAAGATGCCATTGATCACGAGCGGTAACTCAAATGCAGACTAAATACACAACATTTTAGGTATAAAACAAAATCACACCCAAATAAGTCAAATATCTATACTTTTACAATAAATTAAGTTCGTAATAGGACTTACGCAATAAGATTGTCTTCTTCGCTTAACTTTACAAATTACTTAGTACTAACCGATTCCGTGGGAGATCGCATTCTTCAAAGTCCAACTAGTCTATAAAAATATTTTATATCTAACACTTATAAATAACGGAGTCGGCTCTAAATATCGAAGGAGAATGCATAAGAAGGCGGGAGTGGTCCTCGGGTCGGGGTCGCTCAAAAGGGAAGGCTGGCGCGGAACATGTTCTCGATGAGGGGCGGTGCGGGCACGAGGTCCTCGAGCTTAAGATAGAATATGCGTTGCAGCCCCTGCACGGAGAGCGAGCGCAGCTCCGGCAGCGCGCCCAACACGCGGCTGAAGTGCGGCGCGCCCCCCACACCGCCGCCGCTGCCCGGCATGTGCGCGCGCAAGCACCCGATGATCTTCATCTGCATCTGCTCTACTCGGTGTGGCTCCTTCAGCCCATGACGCTCTGTGTAACAAACAAATAGTCCATTTAGAAAGATGGTATACTGCAATTGGAACTTTATAGCAGTTGTGGAGTTAGCAATGAACTCAACTTTACGCAGATTGCATTCAGTGAAACCTTGCGGGCATCGAAAGTACGGTTACTGTGCTACCATCGCACTATATACATTTACGATTTACTTAAGTGCGTTATGTGTAATTTTTATTTATCAACATTGAATTTTAATGTGACAACGTTAAAATTACTATAAAGTTTATGAACAATACGTACCTGTTATTAATGTGAGGGCACAGAGACATGCAAACGTAGAAATGTCGATATCCATCGAGTGCAGTGTGTTGCTAAAGTCCAGCACGGCATGTAACCAATCCCCGAAGGATCGTTGACATTGCCTCTTATCTAGTACTATGCCATTGCAGAAGGTCAGCTTAGTATCTTCAGGCCTTGTGCGGTAGGCGAGTCTTAGTACAAATAGCTCCAGCCTTGCAGAGGCAAATAATTGTTCCCTATCTTCGGGGCAGAGTTCTGAAAAACCGGGTACTTTTTCGGCGAATAATTTGATCATATCGATAGATGTCGTGAGCAGAGAGTAAAATTGTTGTATTACTTCTAAATCTGACATCGGTGGTTCCATGGGGTTCGGTTCTCTGTATTGCGAGTAATCCAAATTAGCAAAATCGGGCGATGTGTCCACATGTGCCCTGACTAACGCAGTGATCATGGATATAGGTGGACTCGGTGGAGATTCTTGCGGACATTTTGGTTTAGATGGTAACCTGCCCCGTCTTCCTTTGAGGGAATCAGTTCTAACAACCTCTTTCACCATTCCGACTGCGAGACATTTTTGAAAACGACAAAACTGGCATCTGTTTCTTCTTCTTTTGTCTACCGGGCAAGCTTTCTCAGCTAGACATACATATTTGGAACCTTTTTGTACGGTTCGTTTAAAAAAGCCTTTGCATCCTTCACAAGTTCTAACTCCGTAATGTTGGCAAGCAGCGGTGTCTCCACAGACTGCACACAACTGGCTGGGTGATGATGGTGCGGCGCGGGGACCGGTCGTTTCCGATGGTGCACCGCCAGGTGAACTCGAGGCAGAACTCGGTGTAGACGCTTGCATACAATGGACTCTTCCTCCATGTAGCTTCGGACTATCATTAGAACTGCTGGATTCCGATCGTTGAACAGGTAAAGAAGCTCTTCGTTGCCTCGAACTTTGATCAGTATTAATATGCAAATCAACAGAACTTGGGAACGGTGGTAACGAATAAGAGTCTTGATTGTGAGTCACACCTCCTGAGTCAAATGTAGGACTGCATGGTTGGGCTGGAGCATAGTAAGAAGACGGTACGTATGGAATCGTAGATTGATGATACGGGTATAAGAGTTGAGTTGATGTGTGTCCTTGATGAGAGTATGCTCCAACATTGTAGCAGTCTTCGTCCATTTTTATGCCAAATTCTGATAATTCTTGCTTAGGATAACGGACAGAGTAAGTTTCTTCGAAACTCGGCAAAGCAGGGCCAAGTGTAGGCGATGAAGGGTCACTCACAGGAGTGGTTCTTTGTGATTTTACTTCAGGCGGAATTGGAGCGTGAAACTCAACGTCCGGAAATGGATCTAAGTTTTCTTCTAAGATTTCGGATGAGTCGTCTTGATATTGTGGCGATAGTAGATCAGTGAAGGACGAACCGTAGTTGCTCTGTAATAGAAAAAAAACAATCGATAAAGGAGGCGTCACAGTAGGCGGCTGGTGGGCGGTGTATCGCGACAGGGGTGGCCGAGACGCACCAATGGCATGCTTTTCCGTTACTACCTACCTACTTATCGGTACTAACACAAGTCAGACCACTGCGTGACATGTTACGGTTGTCTGACTATGCAGGTGTTCTAATCACTTTTGTTTATCATAGATATTAATGAGCTGTACCATAATCCATTAAATATTAATTTTATTACGCATAGGAAAATTTGTTAATTCAGGAAATTTTATTGTGTTTATTGAAATTAACACTGAGTATTAAACTAATAAAAATTACACAAAAAGAGTTTCTGGGATAAATAGGTACTCAACGTACAGACGTAATAATTTGGTTAATTTACTACAATCGACAAAAACTGAAAATATTCTTTAATAACAAAATATCCCTATCTTCCCACTTCTTTTCTTGTTCATATAATTTAAGTAAAAAGCTAATCTGAAAGATTGGATTTGATAAATGAAAGTTGAATAATTTTATTACTAATAATAATATTATTGAAAAAGATTTACTTGATCCCAAGACACTATAAATTGACGTGCATATTAGATATCTAAATCTTTTATTCTTCCTAGTGAGCTGCAGACCCATTCTGTAAGAACAAACTCACTTGAGTTGAAATTAGATCACGAATTTTCGGATAAATTTCTAATCACATCGTGGATTCCGCGATGAAAGTGAGTTTGATCTTACAGAATGGCACTGCTGGATTTGTAAAAGAGCCTATAATAGATAGCTAATTGTTTATTTGTGTTTATTTATGCGTTTTTGTTTATAAAATGTTGGACACTTTCACATCAATAATCTAGCCCCAAACGAAACATAGCTTGTCTGCCAGAAAACTTATAAACATTATTAAGTATAGGTATCCTGTACAGGATCCAGTCGTCAGTCCGGTTGATTATTTTGAAAATATACTCATCAAAAGAGTCTAAGCAACATAAACTTTTTTGAACTCTTGATCGATTTTTAATACTTACATTGTTTTGTTAATAATAATAACCAATTTGACTTATTTGTGATTTAAACAAAAAACCTATGAATAAAATTATGCATTTCATAACTATAATATAAATTATCAACTGATAAAACTAGCATTTTGCGTAATTAATGCACGTTGCGCGAATATAGCTATATTTTTAAGAAATAGCAATTATAGTTATTTTTATTTTTGCAGGTAACTGCTAGATCTTAAATCTAAAGAAAATTTTACTAGAAAAAATTCAGCGCGGAACAGGCAGCAGACGGCCCTCCGCGGCACTAATTGTCCGTGTCGAATTTCCTCTAGTATTACTAGCTGCAAAAGTTTTAAGTTCTTAGAACGCCCCATGGTTTCAGAATCTTTTATAGAGGATTCATATCATTGGTGTAGATTTTGTATGCAACTGTTATAATTAAGTATTAAAACACTCACTATCACTGATTTTTTCTAGTACAATTTTCTTTAGATTTACAGATTTAGCAGTTAAATTGTAAAAAAAATAAAAATATAACTATAATTGCTATTTCCTCTTTTAAACGTTTAATACTTGTAAAGGTATTCAAAATTGTGGGTAACTTACAAAGCAAAGAGATGGCACTGCCGTGCAGCCTAAAAAATACTAGAGAAAATTCAAAACGGACTATAAGGGCCAAAGTAGCATAATGGTCAGTTCATCCGCCCGGATAGCGGAGGGTGTGGGTGCGAGTCCCGTGTGCTGCCTGGACCGCGTGGAATTTTATCTAGTAAACATTTTTTTAGATTTAAACATCTAGCAGTTAAATGCTTAAAAAATATTTATATAACTATAATTGCTATTTCTTCTTTGTTGTAATGTTTAATTCTTGTAAAATTTGACTTTGTAGGTCACTTACAATGCGAAGAGATGGCGCTGCCTTGCAGCCTAAGAAATACTAGAGGAAATTCGACACGCACAATTAGGACCGCGGTAGCATAATGGCCAGTGCATCCACCCGGATAGGGGAGGGTGCGGGTTCGAGTCCCGTCTGCTGCCGTCTAGCAGTTAAATGCTTAAAAAATAAAAATATTACTGATGTGTTTTTTTGTTTGGAATTTAAACTCGATAAATGTTCCGACTTTGTTATGATATTAATTAACTTACGTGTGTCTGCAGCAGTAGCATGCTGGTGGCGTTGGACGTAAAGGCGCTTGGCGAGCGCTGCTCTATGGCGCTCGGCCCTGCAACAAACAAAAAAAACCATTGCAGCAAACGATGCCAATCCAACCAAATGTTGCACTAAAATAGTTCGTCACAGAAACAAATCCGTTATTTCAATCTAGAAAAGTACAATGTGAAGGGATGGTGGAAGGTGAATGCGAAGAGACGGACTGACGTGGAATTGACGGCGACGGCACAGTCCTTTGAACTATCACGCTACGCATGCATGGTTCATGCATCATTTATATTTACCCCCGGCGAACATACTTTGGTTCTTCCTTCACTGAGTACTCGTAATTGATAGATCGATAATAATTTCACGTTATATAGACTTGTGACCGTCTACCGCTACCCTCTCATGACAAGTGGCGAAGGAAAGGAAAGGTCTTTTAATTTATACTGCAGTTTTGCCAAACGAATATTGACGCTTTGAATACATTGTGTCACGGTGCTTGATTCGCCACGCCCCGAAAATTGAATCCTATGTATACACCTAATCCATTCCTGTTAAAGTAACGTCGCAAACTTCGCTACAATTGTAGGAACTACAACTCTATCCCCTAATAGGTGAAGTTCAATTTGGAACTGATTAGCTACTTGAAAATTTTTAGGGCGAAAAAGCGATGGTTCCCCAGGGAGGTTATGAAATCAGTGGCATTTGCAGTGTCTATTATGTTAAGAACCATTAATTCCAGCCTTATTAAGCTATAAACAAAACAGTATGCTTTTGTTGTTGCTAGTTTATATTTTGCCAAAAATACCTATTTGTTTGCTGTTTTTTATGGCTTTGACTAAGTACTTAGAGGTAGGTATGAGCAACTCTGTTGAGAAAATGAAATGGGGGATTGATGTAGTATTATTTTTAATATTTGTGCTACACGATTTTCTTATTATGTTAATCATAAAATACTTGCAATAATTAAGTTACAAGAATTCGCTTATGACGAAAGAAAAACAAAGAAAGCAACAGCTATTTTATTGCTCACATGTTCAGCTACTAGTAAAAAGTATTTGTGTTTTTGTTTTACGTAGTTTTTTATTTATCAAATCATTGTTGCCATATAATATCAGCAAACAGCTGACGGAAAGCTATATATACAACGGATTGAACAAAAAAAGAACCTTCCTACAGAAAATATAATTATGATATGCAATAAACTTACATAATACTAGCTGACCCAGCGAACTTCGTACCACCGTAAAAATAGGGGCAGGTGGTAGAAGGGAAAATTTAGGGTTGTATGTATTTTTCAATACCTCATAATAAAAATAAAAATATTGTCCAAAAAAAAATTTAGGGTTGTGTAACGTAGTGTTCTATTAATTTCCTGGGATAACATTCCTCCTAACCTCTATGAGAACACAACGTTACAATACCCAATAGTTTGAATTTTGGCGCGAAGGCGCATAGTAGGTTTTAGAACACTACGTTACCGGTGGACAACCATTATCACTTAAGGAAATGAAAAATAGATAGTAGCCGATTCTCAGACCCACGGAATATGCATATGAAATTTCATAAAAATAGGTCAGGCCGTTTCGGAGGAGTATGGTAACTAACATTGTGACACGAGAATTTTATATATGATATTTAATAATTATTAGTGTAAGTATATACATGAGTCCCACCACTCGTCCATATACCCACTCATCATCACATCATGAACGCGACTAATATTCAACGACCGAGCTTCCAAAGGCGTATAGCCGTATCGATTGTGAATGATTTGAGGTGAAACGGTGAAAAGTGAGTTTGTTTTTATAAGAACAAACTCACTTTTCACCGTGGAATTCGCCAGTGTGATTTGAAATTAATATGTAAATAAATTAAAGTGAGTTTGTTCTTACAGAATAGCACAGCAGAATGGTGAATAGAAGTTTGAAGAGTGAGGTTTGTACTAAATTGTCTTGTTTGTTCAAATCCACATACAGACTTATTTTGGGACTAATAGATATTTTATGCGATTTCACGATAAAAAAAATGTGTCAATATCTATCACGCTCTCTATCACGAGAGAGGCTCTCCATACGATGTTCTTCTAAGTATCTCATAAAAAACGTCAAGAAGTCATTTATGTGTAGAGATCAAGTTATAATTACGTTAGTAAAATATGTTTATGGTAAAGATAGCTTAAATGAGCTTTAAAAAGATTATGGAAATAATATTTTTATAGAAGTTCGGAAACAATCACTGCGACACGAGATTTTTATTTATAAGAAAAATATTATTTTTATGCTTAGTTTTTCATATATTAAGTATAACGATATTTCTTTCTGTAGAGTATATTGGCAGTAGATAAAACAGAGCAAGTAAGTAGTCTTACTTTAACTTCAGAAATCAATATAAATAGGCTTCCGACATGTTGCCTAAATGAGTTTCCATAACTAGTTTATTACAATTTTTTTAACAGTATCTCCACAAGTATTTAGTTTACCTTTTGGAGATGGTAATAAGCACGACTTTCACAGTGTGAAATTTGTGTACATTTATCATTTATTACAATAAACGTGTCGGCCAGACACACTTACATTGAAAAACAATATTTATTCTACATTATTACATGATATGCTGATGTTTTAGGATGCCTAAAAGTCCGTGTCATGTAATCCGTGTGCCTTATAACTCTCTCTTCTGTGATTCTTGTTTGGCTAAATTTCTCAATCTGATGTTTGCATTATATAAGTAATAGGCGGGCATCCATCGAAGCGAAAAAAAGATTTTTGCCACTTTGTAAATTCCTAATGTAAAATGAAGCAGGTATGTAATAGGATTAATAGATACGATATCTGCTCTTGATCCGATTCTTATTTCAAAATCGGCATTCCGTTCACATCACACAACTACCCATTTTATTTATTACTTAACTAATAATGAATAAGATTTTTTTATTATCATTTATAAGATTAGCTTTTCAAAGTGTTTTGATGTGTGATTAGAACCTTAAAGTTAATCCAGTCATCAATATAATACTTAATTTTTTAAATGGAAATTGGTAGAGACATTGCTAGTAGGTTAGTTACCAATAGTAGATAAATTAATCTTTTTAAATGCTTCGTTATATCTAAAAGAAATTTTGACCTAAGTTAATAGTTCACTGATGTTTTTGAGTGCTGCTGAAAGATAACTTATTGTTTTAAATATGGTTAATATTTAAGAACCAAAAAAACAGAACATGATGAAATCCATTTCCAAAGGTAGAGAATTATTAACTAAGGTTTAGTGAAAAAAAATTTTTGGTTTTAAAATAATTTTGACAGCTTATTCTCTTATCTGTTGAACTATATAAACACGTATATAGTAAAATAATATTTAAGAAACTGATAAACAGAGTGATTCTAATTAGTAAATGGAATCTTGATAATCATACATTGTATAACGATCAACACTTTTTTTAACCGTGCAAAACATGAGCTGGCACTAGTTTTCAGTCCTTATTTGCAGTTACTCGATACATAATCGGCCTAGCAGAGGATGATTTCACCTAAAAGTTCTTAGCGGCAAGTTCGTTTCGTAACGTGCATGGACACGAAAAATTCAAAATTAAATATCTCGATAAATATTAGACTAATTTACATGTTTCATCGATGTTACACATCTTATTATTACATCTTCTGTATTATATTAATTATAATTTTATCAAAACTCAACATGAAATTTCGCCACGAAAGTGGCGCGGAGAACGCTTTTTAAAGAATTACCCTTAGACTCTTTTGATGAGTAGGAACTTGAAAATGGTTTTGACGGCGAAAAATTATCACCATTTCGATACACTGTTAATAAAAAATCATGAAAAGTCGCAAAATTGCCATTTGCGACTTTTCATGATGTTCTGTTCAATAGTAAGTACGTATATTCTTATTTATAATAATGCTTTGTTTTCTAATAAAGTTAAAACTTCGTCACTGAAAACATCTTTAACTCTTTCTGAAAAGAAACATGTATGTCACTATTCGAAATGGTTATCTACAAAAGTGTGTGGATACAATTGTATTGTACTAATAAATTTAAATATTGGGATTTACTTATGGATATTTATTGTAAACAGATAAATAAACAAAATTCACTTTCCTAAATTATTTTTTAATATAGGTATATCCTCTTGGCCACGCCATTACTCGAGAACGACTACCGAATTTATCAATCTTTCTATTAAAGATATCTAATACTTTGTGAAAGGTCTTACGGAAAAAATTAAGAAAGTTGCGGAGAAAATAAAGAAATAAAAAAAACCTTAAAACACTACCTAATTATCTACCCTATATATAAATAATAAATCAGGATATAGTTTTTTTTTGTATTTTATCGGACAGGACAACGTGCACTAGTATTTCTATAAAGTTATTGATAATCAAGTAATAAACTTAAAAATATTTTACTAACAATTGTATTAATGTAACTGTGATGAAATATTAATTTATTACCGTAATAAAATTAAGAATACGTTATTAATACAAGACGTTAAACGGACAAAAGAATATCAAGATCTGTAAGAACCACCTACAATGTCGTCTGATAAACTGGTTTCAGATTGATTAAAACATTCATACAAGTAAATAATTTACATAAGTGAATGTTTAAAGATTCAAGAATAATTTAATTGATTGACCTTGACCTTGAAAAGTGAAATAGAAGAAGCACATTTTTATGGAGCTCATTAATTTTTAGTGAAGCATATCACAGTTAAGTAGTATGTATTTCATCATAATTTACTCTAACAAATTACTAATACTCTATACTTCATATTGTAAGGTTGGAAAACGTGAGCTTTTATAAAAAAAGTATATTACTTGCTACTTATTATTAATAACATTCTTAAGTTGATATAAGAAGTTTTAGGCTAGATCGTTTCATTATTATATATTGTGTTAAAAAAGTATCAATTAATCAAAAATAATATATTGAAAGTATTTCTTTGATTCCAACCATAATAAAACTTATTTTGTGCTACAATTCTTTGCATGATATGTGCACCAATCTCATGGTCTTGGAGACGATTCTCACCATATTAAGATGCGTTTA